TTCATAGAAGTAGAACTGATGCCAGAGCTTTCCTATTTGATTGCATTTGATTAGAGAGGTGGTCATGATGTTAGGCCCGAGTGATGTTTATCTAGTTTATTCAAACTTTTACATTTGCTCTGGTGCAGAACAATCACACAGTTAGCGTAAAAAACCCATAGAAAAGTGAGACAGATTTGAAGATCCCAAAAAAAGTTTAAAAAAGTAAAAAAGATGTTATAATGTTTGCCAGGTTTGATTCACATGTGACACACATTAAAACACATCAGTTATTAAATTAAAAATAGTTTTTGGAGATAAACCTTCACTAAAGCCTGATATATTGTTTGTTGATTTTTAAAAATACTTGGGACCAAAGTTGAGTTTGAAAAAAAAACAGATTGCAAAGAATGTCATTGATGGATGATAAATAGACATACACCTTAATATGTCCACATATTTTTAATCCTTTATCCAGAAAAACTGGCATGAAGTGTTGCGTTTATATAATCAGCCATTAATAGCAAATGTTTAACTGGTTCACAGAAAAGTCATCATCATGTCATCTGTTTACTTTTTTTTCTGCATGATGAACAGAAAGACAGACTGAAGATTTGAAACTGTCACATGCTCATAAATTACAATAAGTCATGCAGCTAAGAAATGCATTAAATACTAAAAAGTGATTTCTTATTCTAACGCGGGAGCATAAATAGATGAAATTTGAAGCAGAGCTAAAAGGTTCTAAAGAGAGCGCGGGTGGATTCCTAGGGGGGCCATGCTATCTCTCAGATATGGTAATGGAGTAATTGTCATATTAAAACAACACAACGTGCGTTTAGGAGTCAGCAGGTGTCACAGTTAGTGAAAGCCCACACCAGCCCTCCTACTATACACTGTATTAATTAGTCCAACACTGTTTCAACTTCCTCCACCATCCGCTTGCTCACCCTGGGAATCAGCCATACTGATGCTCAACGGATACATCACCCCTTCCCTGCCTCTTCCTGTCTCTCCCCGTTATTTGAGCCATTTCCATATTCTTCCTCCTAACCCGTGTATGGTAATGGAACAGGTATAATTGAGAGGCGCTTCGTTAGAGGAGATTTAAATGTGCTTCTTTGTGTGTGATAAGAGTTAAGAGGAGGAGGGGGAGGGGGGTTGGTTCATTTGGATCATCGGTGCTATTTGGATCTTATTCTGGCAACTCGGCCAGGCTATCATCATTAACGCCTCCCTCTCCTCCCTCATCATTCCCTTCACTTTACAAGGTCGCAAAACCTCCCCGGCACTGACAGCAAGCGAGTCATCCTCAAAGAGGCCATCGCTTTCCAACAGGTAAGACTGAAACGTGAATGCAGCAGCATTCAATAAACAATATTAGTCCCAGTGGGTTGGTAACTTGGCATGAGTCAGAGGCTACATATCAATTAGACCATTTAAGATGCCACAGAGACTTTAATGAGAGAAAGAAAAAAAATCCTCATCGTGAACAATAGCAATGATTGCTTAAACAATGAGGTAAAGAAGTTTTGCTGCTTGCATAAATAGCTGCAGAATATTCTATAAGACATCATTAATTGACAGCCCAGGACATTCAGTGCAATATCATTAGAGTATTTTTACCACTATTCCCCTACTATAATTATCCCCCCCTCCTCCTCCCCCCACTATTATCTATCTCTGTCTGAGTAGGGAGATGAGTGGCATTTGATAGATCATTCACTCCCTGCTCATTTACATGTATTTGAGGAGCAGCCTTGATGGAGATCACATTGTATCAACCATGAACCATGGATGTCTTCCATAACATTTAATACGATTATTTCAATAGGTATAATTAATATGTAAACCTGTAAACTATTAAATATTGTCTATGAGCAGGAGCTGTCAGTCACACATAAAATGTCTTAACAACTGCAGCGTGTTGTATTTCATAAGCCTGGCTTACACTGAAAGGTCAAATGTGCTAACTCATCTGGTAGCTCCTTATCGTGGTCAGGCCACCAGAGACGTCAGGGGGTTTTAAACATGTATTCACTGTGTTAAAGCAGGGCGGAGGCGAGGCCCCTCGCGGCTGTCTGGGGGCCCCCGCTTTCAATTCCTCATCTTCACATTAGTGAGCCAGCGGGGCGTTTCCCCAACCTCCCTCCTTCTCTACCCACCTTGCCCCCCCCTCCCTTCTTTTGCCCTCTGGACCTCTTACAACCCCCAGGGCCACCAAAATGTTAATTGGGCTTCTAATTTACTGTTTCATTTGCTCCTATCTGTAATGATCATTAAGTATCAGCGCAGGAACAATGGGGCCGGGGAACATTTGGCTCAATCTATGTGCAGTATCTTTGTGATAGGCCCCGTGTGGTGGTTTGAAATGGGACCAAAAACTGCCCTCAGGTTAAAAAAAGAACAGAAAAATCTGCAATTCTATATGATTAACTATTCAATGCATACCTTTTTTCAAAGGCATATAACCTAAAAAAAGACTATGTTTAATTAGACACTATAATACAGTTAATAAATGTATGTACGATTGTGTTGTCAATGCTCCCTGGAATTATGTGCTGACTTCTGGGGTTAAATGTTCCATGAGTTTGAGAATTTCAGTTTTCCAGGATTTAAATTTTTGGTCAAAACAACGATACACAACAATATCTGGCTGATTTTGTAAGTTTGAGTAGCTCACAGCAGTTTGCTGAGGAACCTGATGATAAAAATGTCAAAGAAAAAGCAGATTATTAACAACAGAAATCTAACAAAGCTCCCTCATGTGAACATGTTGAGGTATCAGTGAACATCACCAGATCGGTTGATCACAATGTTGAGAGCAGCATAATGATGTCAGCAGAAAGGGTTGACGACCTCCCGGCCTTTGGTCCCATCTACTACTCCATTAGACGTGTAAAACTGAGCACAGGTTCTTTCCCTTTGTGTTTGACAACATTTTTGTGGACACATCTTTTCTTTACAAATGCACCCTTTAAATGTCAGTGAAATAATACACTATTGACTATTGACAAAGTTATTTGGTCGGTTGGGTTCAAACATTACTGTGTTGTATTCTAAATTCGTTCAAAGTTGTATTATCAACTGATGACAGCCCTAGGCCGAAGCATGAGCAGCTGTACTCACATGTTCACATGAGAACACAGGAGAACTCCAAGATGATGGGGGAATGAAGAGAACATTGTGTGTTTTCTTGTCCTGGAACTCCATATGAAGTGTTTTGAAGATAAATGACACACTGGTCAATTGTTGATTGATACAGTGAAGGGATAATTGATCACTTCAGGTAGAAGTTCAGATCATTCTTTGATAATTGCAAAATTGGTTGTCAGGCTATAATCATCACTTCTCGTCTTTTCATCCTTTCTAAGTTGGACTGCTTACAAAAATGACCGGAGCACCGCTTCACCGCAGCGGAGCAGGTGTAGCGAGCTGCCCAAATGACTTTGTCACAGAGGGGAAAAAAGGAATTGAAGAGTACATCTAAAACCAATGATGGGTTTGAGATCATTCCCTTTCACACTCCTCTGCCACAACCTGACGAGGAAGCACAGGATGAGATTGAGTGAAACAGAGAGAGAGAGAGAGAGAGAGAGAGAGAGAGAGAGAGGGATGGAGTGAGAGAGAGAGAGAGAGGGATGGAGATGTGCAACGCCAGCCAAAACTTTTTCAATTTCACCGACAATTTCCTGTGTAATTACTGATGTGGTATGATGGTGTTTTAATGACAGGGACCTGCCAGTGACAGTGACATTGTGTGTGTGTGTGTGTGTGTATGTGTGTGTGTGTGTGTGTGTGTGTGTGTGTGTGTGTGTGTGTGTGTGTGTGTGTGTGTGTGTGAGATCTAGCTGGGCCTGTTGATGATGGTAGAGTGATGAGATGGAGCCATGTTGTGAAGATTAGACCTGCCTGCCCCCCACCTCTTCCACACCACACACACACACACACACACACACACACACACACACACACACACACACACACACACACACACACACACACACACACACACACACACACACAACACACACACACACACACACACACACACACACACACACACACACACACACACACACACACAAAACCTCAAGCATTAACGCACCCCTCCAAACTACCCTGCTATGCCACCTGCTATCTCCCCATCACCCTCACTCACTTGTATAACACCCACTGCCCCTCCTCCCCCCCCCCCCCCAACCATCAACCCCCTGATCATCAGTGCCATGTTGGTGGCCATCAGCGCCACCAACCATGGGCAGGTCAATGAGCCGGTACCTGTAGTCGCACCAGGGGCAGCGGTACGGTTTCTCCCCGGTGTGAATCCTTTTGTGCCGTGATAGGTGGGACTGCGTGGTGGAGGCAAAGTTGCAGAGCTTACATTTGAATGGTCTCTCTCCTGTGGGTGGACAGACAATGATGATGAGACCAACATAAACGTTTTAATTGACCAATGGCGTAATCACACATGCAAAAACACTCGTGAAAACTCCTAACATTTCCGACGTGAGCTGTGAACACAAACAGCTGAATTTTTTTCCTCCTTTAACTTTAAACAGAACTTTTCCTGCCGGGCCCCCTCGTAAGTTTTCTGTCAGTCAATGAGGCCCGTTGTGAGGTGCATGTGTGAACAAGCAACTCAGGAAGATTTCAGGTGTAGTCGGTCTGAAATGTTCTAGAAATTTTCAGGAGTGCACATCTGAAAACATATTAACACACAGGGACAGAAACATATACAAAGTCTTTCTAAGGAATCAACTAACATGGTTTGGCTAATAAAGGACCATTTTACTGGCATATTTTCTATCCAAATGAAAGACTCAAGTAGTTCATAACACAATGTTGGATCAACTACTTAAAAAAGTGACAATGCATATTTTCCATAAACAAAAAGCCATATTTAGTCCTGGATCTACAAAAACTACTTTGCTTACTTATTTTGAACACTGCACTGGCATTATATTTACAAAGTGTCTAAACAAACTGTGAAATGTTGTATGGGAGTTGCAGTGGAAGCACTTTAAGCTGCCACAGGTTTAGTTAAAGTTATAGGGTTTGTGTTTACTGCTGAGATATATCTGAAAGCCTTTGGGCAGTCATGCCTCCATTTTTCTTTAGTGAACACTCAAAATAGTAAAATTAATATTAAAAGACAAAAACCCGAAATGATGAGCAGTAATTTAAATAGTAAGATATATAAATACCCATCTATCCTTTTTTTTTTTAAAGATTAACATATAAGCGCAAATACATTTTAAACAAGGAATGGTCTTGAAAGGTCTAAGTTAAAGTGACAGATACTTCAGAAGTATACATTTAAAAAGTTAGCTGATACGTACCCAGATAATGCTTTTCAAGTCAGCTCACATTTTTTAAAATACTAGTTTATTGTACAAATAAATAGTCAACATTAAGAGGATGAAGGAGTACAAATCTGTGGTGGTTAAATGTTATTTTGTCAATCAGCAGGATGTATTTCAACAGTAAGAATTCATGTCCATAAAAGGTGATCGATAAGACGGGAGATATCTATCCTTATATGAAAAAAATAGAATATCTGACACACAGCTATTCATCGTTAAGCATCAAATATCATTGGAGAGTTGTAAGGGTGGTGAAAACCAGAGTTTAAAACCTTTAAAACCTTGCTAAAAGAGAGCTGCTAAACTAGAACCTTCATACATTAGTAGATGGTTTTTCAATTGAAGTGGTGTTGTTAAAATACTGATTCAGTGACAACCATTCCATGACAAGTTAAAGGTTTTTGGGCATGGAAAGAGAAATATTAAAAGGGATGTCAATATGGCTGCTGCTTGCCACAAACTTAAAGACTGTGACAGTAGCTTTAAAAAAAAATCTGAATCAGTCAAACTTTGACAGGAAAACTCTGTCAGGCAGGGTGGCTCTATCATCTGAAGCTGTATGATGACAGATTTGAATATCCAGCTAAATCAGTGGAATTGACACATGTCAGCGCAGGAGACGGGGCCAGAGATTGGAGGTTTCAGGGAAAAAATGGCAGAAAAACTGAGGAGCAAACAAAATGAATTATGAAAACCTAAATGAATATTTATAACATATTTCTTGATCCTTGGACGCCTGCCAGACAACGGTTAAGAACAGTTTTTGTTTCACTATCCCACCCCCCCACCCCAAAAAAAAAAAAAAACCTTGTTATTGACAGCCTATCTGAAAAATGCAATTTCCCTAAGCGACAGAATGACATGGTGAAATGATAACTTAAATTAAAAATCTCAGATTCAGTCAGCCATACTGGTACACATGCCTATCACTGACAACAGCATGTCACAACTCAACTGATGTCCCTGTGTGTATGTGTGTGTGTGTGTGAGAGAGAGAGAGAGAGAGAGAGATAGAGAGTGAAAGTGAGAGAGAGAGAGTGAGTGAGAGAGTGAGTGAGAGACAGACAGATAAGCAAAAAAAAAATACTGTGACTGTTCAGATCCCGAAGTGCCAATCACTGAGTGAGATTCTAAAGGTCAATACAACAATGTGTGTGGGCGCTTAAACGAGTTGAAGACATGAGTTCATGATGTGTGTCGTGATGCTCACCTGTGGTGTTGGCGTCTGTGTTTGGTGAGGGCGTGTCTCGTGCCTCCAGCGAAACCACACAGGTCACACAGATAGGACTTCTCTCCTACAGAGACAGATTGAGAGAGGGAAGAGAGAGCATGAGGGTCTTGTAGGGCGGAGAGGAAACAAATCATGGTAGACATCTGGTTACAAAGTAATATTGAAACATGTCAAAAAAAGGAAAGAAGCAGCTGAAATCATTTTGCTAAGTGAGATTTACTGACTTTTTGTTTGTGGCTTTATCGTAGAGATAGGACAGTGGACAGAGCAGGAAATCAGGGAGAGAGAGAGGGAGAGAGAAAGAGAGAGAACGGGGAACGACAAGCAAGAGAGGAGCCGCAGGTTGGATGTTAACACATCCTCTGCACATGGGGCGAACACACCACGACCACCCCACCTGCACCCAATATCACAGTCATTCTGTGTCGACCTACAGACTAACATTAGCTAACATGCTAGTGCTCAAGGGCGACATCTACTCGATCAAAAAGTCGCACATTCTTCCTTTAACTTCTCGATGCACATTTGGATCAAATATATGATCGCACTCCATAGGTAAGTAATGCTGAAACTAACTAAGATATAAACAAGAGTAAAAAAAGAAATGTGTCTTTTATCACGTTTTTTTTTCTTATTAAGCTAAATGCAGCTTAGTTTCATTAATCTGCCAGTTGTTCATTTCAAAGTCAGATACATATTCATCAAAACAAATATAATTCAATCGTAAAAATTACAACTTCAAATATCAGTGAACGATAGTAATTGAGAGGCCATTTAAAAAAAGATTCATAAAATCCTTGAAGCCTGAGTGGAAAAGTCTGTTGGAGGAAGGACTGAGTGATGCTCTCTCTTCACTCAGAATCAGAGCTAAAGAGCCATTGAGCGAGGGAGTGCGAGCTCAAATACAGACAAAGAAGAAGAAAATATTGTGTTGATGGATTGGGAGAGAACGTGTGAAGGAGGAGGAAGGCAGAAAGTGAGAGAGAGAGAGAAAAAAAAAGGAAGACAGACTGAACAGATGAGCAGAGGGTCTAGTTGGCTAACAGATGAGCCAAGCAGAAGTCACAGATCACTAGTGTATATCCATCAGAGCTCTCACAGCTAACTAATTCCTCCAATCAGATGGATCCGTGTAAATATGTCAAATGGGGGACGGGAAATTGCCAGTGTGGTTTATTGACTGTGATAAAATCTGAAAAGCACCGCTGAACATAATTACATACTTGTCAGAGCCATAAAAATTAGCTTTATTATCAATGGGATGGTTTTGTACAACTTCATTTGGGGGCGATGCCTTCCAGATGGGGAGCGTGGAGAGCTTTTTTACACTCCTCCTCTCTTCCCTGCATCTGGCTCTGTCATTAACACCATGATGGTCTCTCTCTCTCTCTCTCTCTCTCTCTTTTTCTCACTGCCATTACACACATGCAGTCACACACTCCTGCACACATTCACACACACACAACAACACAAGCCCAGCGGCAGATATTCCTTTTTAGATACACAAATCCAACTGCATGTGGTGTGCTAGTTATACATTTCCATACATGTACATGTTGTGTAACAGCACATATACATGGAAACAGTGCAGATACAACAGCATCCTAACATACAGACACGCACTGCATCACTTAAATATTCATCTAAATGCTGATGCTGAACTCCGGCCCTCGCCACACACACCCGCTAACACATTTGGGTGACTCTTCCAGCTGGGGCCTCAGCGGTGCTCTGCTCCTACTTCTGCACAGATAGCAGCTTTCAGCGAGTCCGCGGAGACAAAGCAGCCTCAAGTTTCTTCTATTACACCCATTTAAAGCCACTCGACTGTGAGGAGAGTTTTAATGCAGTGCCACTTAGATGGGAGAAAAACAGCCTTAAAAAAAAAGGTGCTTTCCCGTTAGCCGGTTCATACAGGTTCACTTTTGGATACGGCTGTGGATGGCACTTTAAAAGGAAGTGTTTTATTATACATTTATGTCCATTCTATTGCTTTCTTAGGCCGCATGAAATCAACTTTTACAAATGCCCTCTAAATGCCTTTACATCTAAACACATCCTCCATAGTGAGAAAATAAACCTCAAAGTGTTTACCTTTTTGTTTCTTCAAAAGTGTTTTCTCAGATTCAATGGAACGGACTACCAAACTCTGTACGATCTGCAGAGTCCCTTTGAAAAGCTAAAGGCACAGCTCTTTCATGAACACATATGAATGTTATTGATGTTGATGATGATGATGATGATGATGACGGTTTTGTTTGATAATGACGATGACGAAATTTAGGGCGGTTTCGATGCTGATTAGATCTCATTTGATGTGTGCTGTCTCCTCTTTTCTAGATTCTTGCTGGTGTTTTACTTGCTCTCTGATGTACATCGCTTTGGATAAAAGCGTCTTCCGAGTGAAAAGTAGAAATGGCTAAATTTGGTTGTGTCATTTCATCATCAGCAAAAAAAGGAAGAAGGCATCCCAATGATTGATAAGTTATCACTGACAAGCAGAACACAGCTTAGAGGGGCACTTGAGACAAAATAAAAGAGGACAAACATCGATTATAACCCCCTAGAATTCAGTTCCTTCTTTCTTTGGTAAACTGAATTTTAGTTTTTCCTCATTAACCTTCCACATATTTCATTTTTTTGACAGTTTAACAGCTAAAGACTCACAACTTTCATAACATTGAGATTCAAATATTTTGTCAAGTCCTGATTTGTGGATGTGGTTTCCTGAAATCATCGTTTTTGCTGCAGAGTACACCCCCTTTACAAAGCAGTGACAACAACACAAAGACGTGAATACTACAAAAAAAAGGTAAAAGTAGCAAACAAACCAACATGGAGTCTCTAAACTCGACTGATGATTAGTTACTAAGGATCAGGTCAGACCTTTTCTCCCTATCAGAAAAACAGCACTAGTTACTCCCCCACCCCTTCCCCTCCTCCCTTCTTTCTCTCATTACGGCCCAACGCTACAAGACCCCACCACAGGAAAATCCATAGCCATCGATCCCTGCGCCCAGCCGTAGTCGCCACAATTATTCTTGAGGAGGAAACGTTGGCGATAAATTACATGTGTGCTTTTCATCTGCTGCTCTGTGGCGAGGGCGCTCTCTGAGGACCATGGTGGGGACGGGGGGGAAATGGGACGGGTGGGGGGGGCAGAAGAGTGACATGCTGTCAGCACTGGGGGGGAACACTGCCTGGATAAAGCAGCATGATCCCCCCCCCCCCCCCCTCAAACCCACAACGAGATCTTATCGACTACATTCCTGATTCACCTTAACCTCTTTCTTTTAGCGGTACACAAAAAACATTTAACCTTAAACTTGACCTGTAGTCACCACTCAAACTTAAAGTAACCTGGGATCACTTCTTCCACTTCACTCTGAACTTTACATTTTTTTTTTACCCCCGGCTGTTCCCTTGCAGAGGTGTAGTCCAGACACACAGACGAAGGCAAACACAATTTAAGCTATTAAGATCCTTCAACAGGAAGTGTGACACACTGTCCCATCATTTGTTGCTTAATGCACTGAAACACCTCAAAAACTACAGATTCTGCGTCTGTGCAGTGAGAGCTGTTACACTTTTTGGGTAATTTCAATATTGGCTCGTCTCTCCTTCCTTTTGTTCCCATGATGCACATCAACCCTCCACCTCTTACTTGAATTAAAAAAGATATTCCCTTATTGCCAGACTATAAAAGAACTTTGAAGTCAAAATATACAACCTCTCTTTACATGTGTGTGAATATCTATATAAATAAATATATAAAATGTGTGTGTGTGTTTGTGTGTGTGTGTGTGTGTGTGTGTGTGTGTGTTTTAAATAACCCTAGAGGCGTCTGCATGCAGCTATAATTGCCTCTCTCATTAGTTATGTTTTAGCAGGAGCGAATGGGAGGGCAATTAATTTTACCGCTTAATTTTTGACACGGAATCCGCTGCTGTATTGATGTGCTCACCATTTTGGGTCTCATTTTTCAGGGAAATTAATTGACAAAGTGCGAAGATTTATCAGCATATCGCCAGATTAAGCGACAAACTGAGGCAATGAGGAAATCAATTGTGGCCCTGTCGCTGCGTTCAACCCTCCCCCCTAGCTCCCCCCCCAAACACCCAAGAGCCTGGGAAAAGCTGGGTGGGTCAGATTCAGTGCGCTTATTTATTTATTTGAGTCGCTCATTCATCAGCCGTTACAAATGACCCTGGCGGCTGACGACCACTGAATCCCCGCCCCGCCCCCGCCCCGCCCCCGCCCCCCCCCCCCCCCCCCCCCTCCCTCAGACATGACTGGTGTGTGTGAGGAGGGAGTGATTAACATAAAAAACACACAAATCAGAGAGGAACAATGAATCCTGTTAGAGGCAGGAGAAGGAAAGCGGAGGTGTTAACTTTTTTTTTTCTTTTTGGGGAGGAGGGTGCGGACTCTGCATGTAACAGCCAGCAACTCTATCCACAGGATGATGAAATGTGACATTTTTTTTTGTTCGGGACGCTTCTGTCTTGTTTTTGTGTTTGGCTACAATGAAGTTATGGGTGCCAAGTTAATTAATTAATTAAGTTAAGACAATAGAGACTTCAGAGTAAAATCATTGATCAGGGGAGGTTAGAATAGAAGGCAAATGGTCACTTAAGAGATTTTACTCTGAAGACTCTATTGTCTTAACTTAATAAATTGCAAATAAACTCAATCAAATCATTTTTTTTTAAAAGTTTGTCACACCTTATTGCTGCCGCTATTCCTTCCAAGAATTCAATCTTCACAAGACAAAGACAGTTTAAGATTATAATCAAGCAGAGTTCAAAAGTAACAAAAGTAAGTATCATTTAAAAAAAACAGCTCTTTGATTCAGAGGGAGGCAGATAAAAGTGACTTACTTGGCAAACATATTTCAACAGCACTAGCCTGCTAGTTTAGCTGCATTAATTCATTTGAAATGCTTTCAGTGGATGACTTTAATATGTTTTAATTTCCCTTATTTGTAAAATGAATGTGCAATAAAAGGTCTTAAATATGCCGGTGTTGGATAAGTTAAAAATATGCTAAAAGGTTTAGATAAAACATGAATGTCCCCGACAAAGAAGTGAGCATCATCATCATGGGATGATCCTCTGTAAAAGTCTAAGTTAAGACTAGCTGCAGGACTAGCTTTAAAACTGTGGGGAAGTACAGTAGAAGTGTGATTACTTATGAAGGGTTATTCACTATTTAACGTGAGAATAAAAATCTCCTGGCTGTGAAGAGAAGCTTGTTTAGGCTACTAGCTAGCCAAACTAAACAAGCTTATGTTTATGGTTTAAGGAAAATTAGTAGTTCATAGTTTTACTTTGTTTAATAAGCCCAATTCAGACTGCGGTGGAATTTACGCCCCTGTGACGCTTCCTTCAATCTGTTGCGGGGCGTAATGGGGGGGGGACAAAGTGATTCCAGCTCATCTTTAGAGGTAGTAACGAGACAAGACGGTTTCAGTAGAGCCAGTGGGGTTGCGCAGCGCTGTGTGTGCGTGCATGTCTGACTCTATGTCTATGTGGAGTTGCCTCTCTGCCCAGCTTCTGTAACGCTGAAACGCATTGTGAATTCTCAGACTGGAACACCGATATTGTGCCTTTGCGAAAACAATAAAGAGAGGATGACAGCTGAGCATAGTTACAGCACTTTTGCGAAAAAGCAGGCTGAAGCGGCTTAAAAAGACAAGCCCCTTAACACTTTTGAGCTTTACTTCAGCCCTGTGAAACATGACCTTAACTTCATGAAGAAGTCTGAAGCCTGACCGTTTCTTTTTCTATCAGACTCAACGTTATCTTAACTACGACTTGAGTAATCCTCCATGTTACAATCTTTGTTCTTCAGAGTTGTATCTAAATATCACTTGTATTTAATGTTGAATGATGCATGTGTTGTCTCTACAGAGGATTTAGATGTTACCATATAAGGACACGATTGTTTTGAGTGCTCAACCTCTGCTCCATCTGTCTCATGTTTTTTTTTTTTTTTTTTTTTGTACATGGCATTATCACACTTACTGCTGTTCTCAGGGACTACAAATGTTATTTTAAGGGATTATAAACCAATTAAACAAACTTAAAAAAAAAAAAAAAAAACACTCCAAATTTGCCTCTGCAATGAAGTTATTCTTCGAGGGATAGTGCTTTCTTTCTTTACTTAGCGACTCTAAATTTGACTGGAAGAATGAGCTAGATGTGTGTAACATTACACTTAGCTCTTGTGCAAGCTCCCCAGTTAGTCATCGTCCTGTGAGCCTCTTTATACACCCCCCCCCCACACACACACACACACACACACACACATCTCCCGTCCATTACTGACTGCACTGTTCCCATGACAGATTAGCTCAACTTTAAAATCTCCTTCTTATTTTGTTAGTATTGCATCTAAGCGCAGTGAAGGAGCAGATTTATAACCTTTAAACAGATCACACGCATGCAGATAATATTTCAGTGTGTCAGGTTGGCTGCTGGAATGTGATTGCAATGATTGTATAGCTGCAACTAACGGTCGACCCGGCACCAATTACAACCGCTAAAGGAGTGTTGGGGGTCACGGTGGAAAAAAAACGGTGTTAGATTTTTTTTTTTTTTTGCATTTCTAATCAAGTCAGGTCTCGTCGCTCGCTTAAATGCGGTTGTTTCAGGTTCAATCTTAATTCTCCTTTTTTCCTACATTCATACTTGGTCACCCTTGATCTTTCAAGCTCTCTTATTTCATCACTTTCCTGTTTCCATCTCAATCACTTCACTCACTCTCTTCAAGTCTGTGTCCTCCCTGCCAAACTCGCATAAAGAAACACACACACGCAGACACACACACACACACACCACCTCACGCCTCTCCAGGTGACAGCTAGGTGACAGTGTGACGGCAGCCGCCTGATGGGGAATGATGAGGGCTGGAAACAAATGAAAATAAAACGTCTAATTATGTCAGAGGCGCCTTGACGTTACATCACTGTTAAAACACATTTAAAATAACATCCAGCAAGTCCTACACTCACACACACATTTACACACACACACACACACACACATGCACACACAGCAGGCACCCGTGACGGATGGAGGGCTCTCCTGCAAGCGCTCAGTCAGGCTGTCAGGCCACTGGCTGCTGCTGCTTCTGTCATTGACTTAAAAGGGCATCAAGGAGCTGTGTGTGGGACATTACTGAGGCCGAGGGGAAACTGCTGGGCTGCAGCATAAAGACACTTTCAGAGAGGCTGACTTGGGCTCCTATCGAGGGGCTATTATTCAAGACAGTATCCTCCCACCGCCCACCGCACCATCTGTCTATCCAAAGTTTTTAGTAAGTAAAAAAACATGACTCAGTGCAGTCCCACAGTGCACTGTTTCTGTACTGTGTGTCCCCAACTGAAAGGAAAGGATGTAATGGGAAAGAAAAGGCGCTGTCTGTGTATAAGAAATGCATTAGGAGAGTATCCACAGATATTTATGTTAAGAGTTTTATTCTTTTAATGCTTTGGCGTATACTCGAGTCAATATGTTTGAATTGGAAGTGATGAAAAAAAAAATAAAGTCAGTGAACTTTGTTGTAAAGGTTTGTTGTAAAACTTGACACTGTATCTTCAAAAGTGAGGTTTAACTGAGGTAAGAAAAGAGAGGACTCTGATTTACAGATCAGCAGGCATAGTGGAATTAATGAAGCAGGACACAAAGGTTTTAGAGAGACAGAATCTTAGCTTCTGAGCAGGCCTTTCAAAACGATTCAATTCAAAAAATATATTTTTTAAACACGATTAATTAAATTCACCAGAATTCAAAAGTTTTCCGCAATTAATCCCATTTGAAACTCCATTATTTTTAGCAAGTTTTTCTTAGGCTTATATTTAAAATTTTTGTTCAGTCTTGAGACTGTAGTGTTCTTTACTTCCTGTTTAAATACAAATCGGCATTTATTTGGAATAAAATAAGAAACTTTCTGTAGATGGAAGGTTGACATTAACTTGATTATGGAAAAAATGAACTTGTTACAGATAGAAAAGAGAATGTTTAAAAGTGAAATGTTAATTTTGAAGCTTCAACTGAGCTGCCTGAGAGTTTTTTTTTTTTTTAAGTGATTTGAGCCAATCAAAGACAAGGCAGTGTTGTATCCTTTCTCATCACTCATAACTACAAAAAGAGATTACGAATACTTACAGTACCTACAGTGTGCCTAAAGGGAAAAAATAGCATGCGATTAAAAAAAAAGTAATGCATTCATTCGGGATCCTAATTAATTGTGATTACAACACGTTAATGCTGACAGCCCTGATTCTGCTATAAGTCATTAGCCCCTTTCATATTGCCAGTTCAAGGCAGGATATTAACCTGGGTAAGACGGGGTCACCGCAAAAGGGCGGAGACAGCAGGACAGAACAGCATGGTGTGTGTGTGCATGTCTTAGTGCATGTATATGTGAAGCATCTTATGCATATTTAGCATTACCTTAGTACAAAGAGAAATAACAATGACACAATTTTACACTGTTTACAGCAGAGTTCTGGTTATTGTGCTGATACAGACTTGCAATCTGAAAGGGGCTACTGTTCGGGACTATAAGCTTATAAAACCGGCTAAAATGAATACTGCTGCATCTTTAGAACTCGCAGGAGCAAATGAGACCATCAGCGTGAAGATTATCTATTTTTATATGGTTATATATAATATCTGAAACAGCTGCTGCAGGGTAGGTGTCAGAGGAGATTAATGGATCTCTACACAAACATTGCTTTGCTTTGTTGATGGCAAAGATTCTTGATGAGTGATACATTTGACTTTTTAAAAAATTAGGATGAGACATTTTATTTAAAACATACTACAAAAGTTGCTCACATGAGCTTTAAATCTGTTTTTCGCATGAATTTTGAATTTCCTTTTTGTCCTCATCTACCATCATGGAGCAGCACACACTGGGCTGGTTCAATGTGGGAAAACACACTCTTGAGATCAGATGGATTTGATGAACACACACTTGCTGACCAGCTGGGTTGGGGGGAAACACATACATTTGGAGACCAGATGGATTTAGGGGAAATACACATGAAAACCAGTTGGATTTGGGGAAACACTCTACCTTCATTCCCTCATTAAGCAACCCTCTCAGTCTGGAGGATGGCAGAAAACAAAAACAAACATGAAATCCAAACATCTTTGTCCCTCTTTCTTTGGCCATTATTGTCTCCTTTCAAACATTACTGGCTGTTATAACATCACGGAGCTGTGACGACGGGGATCAGGAGCTAAGTGTAAAACAATGTAGGAGCAGCGCCGGCTAGGCCGCCAAGAACCGGCTCTCGACTTTCTCTGGATGTTGAAAATCAGTGCAGATGGACCAGACAGGGTTATTATTGGCCAAAAATGTGTGCATATTTTTTTTTCCAAACAAAGCTGTGAAGATTCATAATTAATGTGAGATTTTCACAGTTAACACATAAACTTCGACAGTCCGAAGCTATAAAGGAATGAAAAAGTACATTTTGTATGATCCAAGTCTGTGTTTCTCAATAAATAACCTTCTGTCTCCCACTTTTAAAAACACAATAAGCCTGTAAAAAAAAAAAAAGAAAAAAAAAAAAGAAAAATCTTGTGAATTTTGCTACATAAAGTATCAGTGGATGTGTTTCTGGAGGAGTGCAGTAGAGGTTGCCGGCTCTCAGAGTCTCACCAGTGTGTGTCCTGTAGTGGTCCTTCATGGCTGACAGGTTGAGGAAGGCGTAGTGGCAGGACGGCCAGGCGCACTTATACGGTTTCTCCCCACTGTGCAGTTTCATGTGGTTGTTCAGGGCCCATTTTTCACTGAAGGAGCGCTCGCACAAGTCACATTCAAACTTCCTGCAGGAAAAGAACAGAGGCAGACGAGAGTGAGTGAGGAGGAGGAGGAGGAGGAGGAGGAGGAGGAATAAAACGAAGAGTTATTTACTGATCCCAAAGCTGACGTAAAAATGCTCGACAATCTACCCTGTGAGGAAGGAAATGGAGGTTGTTGGGTACTCACACCCACAGAGCACAGGGCCGTGTGACTGCCTGCTGTACATCTACACACACACACACACACACACACACACACACACACACACACACACACACACACACACACACACACACACACACACACACACACACACACACACACACACACACACACACACACACAAACGAACACAGAGAATGCAGTTGGCTGCTGGTGTGTCATGTCTGTATAAGCAGGCATTGATTTTTCTGTCCTGGCCTGCACCTCCACCATTTATTCTCTGCTTTGCACCAGGGCCCAGAGGACTAGAGAAATTCTGTTACAGTCCACACACACACACACACACACACACACACACACACACACACACACACACACACACCACCACACACACACACACACACACACACACACACACACACACACACACACACACACACACACACACACACACACACACACACACACACACACACACACACCGCAGGGCCAGTGGGGAGAATAGAGTTCACCTGTCCGGCGTCCCTGACCACTTAGCCAGGGCTAAATGAACAGTTAGCAACATTTTACCTCCTGCCGCTCTCTTAAGGCTCCTGTATCAGAGTTTTCCTACATCTCTGCTTCATAATCCACTTCTCTACGTACTCATCCATCCAATCACTGCTCACATAATCAAACTCAGCTCTATTTTGTGATTTGGATAGTCAGTATGTGGAGTAGTGTGTGTAACATTTTGTTGCACGGTGCAAAAGGCCTCTTTTGAAGTCACATTAACTAAGCATGGTGTTCTTCGTTTACTCTGGACATCTGTCTTTTCTCCATAGCTTTCATGCCCAGAACCCAACAAAAGCTGTGTGTTTTTTTTTTTTGTAGATCATTGTGTCGGATGTTTGCACCTATATTCATCTGCTGTGTTATTAGCCGTCAAGAAACACACAGAAGTAAAAACAATAGAAAAAAGCCGGCGCTTGAATTAATCTTTACCGTGGTGCTATAATTTAAGCGCCGAATGACTAATGTGCGAGTCATAAACAAATGAAGTCGGCTTTTGGGGAGCATTCGTCTTGCTGCGAGGGGCCGTGTTATTTTAGGGAGGGCGGCTGTCTTTAAGTCCTGATTGTGTCGCTTAATCCCCGTGGTATCTGTTTCATAGCGAGCAGCATGACACTCACCTGAACAAATAATGACTCCGAGCAGCATGTAGCATGTGTCTGAATCAATAATTCAAACTCATACATCTTCCTTACTGGAAGGAGGGAGGGGGCAAAGGGAGAATGAGATGGAAGGAGGGAGGGAGAGGGGGAGGAAGGAGAGAAAGGAGGGAATTAAAGATGGGGAAGAGGGAACGATAGAAAAGAAAATGTGTCCTGGCTTCCATATCAATCTATATGCTCCATGAAGATGAATGTAAACGTGATATGGATGTCATCCTACACTATTTTCAGAGGACATTTTAAGCTCACTTACCAGAAAGGATGGAGCAGCTTTAAAATGGCGCCTTTATCACCTGGCTGGAAGCTCAAAATGCACGTTTAAAATGCCTTGTTTTCCTCTCATTCTCATCAAGTGATTTAAGCCCAGACTTTATTTGACAAACAGATGTATGCCTGCGTCTGTATTCTCCTTCTCTTTCCTCCCTCCCCTGCGGTATTTATAGAACAGCTCGTCGCCCATGCCACCGTGGGAGAGGTAAATAAGATGAGTGAAGAGATGCTATCTTTTATTGTAAGCATTATGCACAACACTCCTGCTTTATGAGCTAAACGGCCCATTGTTTATCACAGGGCGTCATCGCAAAGTCAGGCAGGCAGGCAGGCCTTGACGTGGGCACGGGGCATGCTGGGAGGGACGGAGGGAAGAGAGAGAGAGAAAAAGAGACAGAGAGAGAGAGAGAGAGAGAAGCAGGAGGAGAGGAGAGAAGATGGAGGAGTCAGGGCTGGCAGAGTTGACTATCAGTGGGGGTTTTGTAAGGATGAGAGGAGGGTTTGCGCCTGTTTTTATGGGATCAGATGGAGCGCTTTGATCTTGTCCCCGCATGTCAGATCCCGTCACGATCCACCGTCTCGCCCATACATATGCATACTGCCTCTAAACAGCCAGGCACCATGCAAAACACACCAAAGGTAGGAGGTAGAAGGAAGAGACACAGAGAGAAAGAGAGAGATAAAGAGAGAGAGAGAGAGAGAGAGAGAGAGAGAGAGAGAGAGAGAGGGGTTGAGTGGTTTTGTGTATGCATGTGTAGCTCTACATGTGTGTATAAAAGAGGGAGTAAGAGGGAAAGAGAGGTCTGCCAATGGGAAATATTGGAAGACTCTTTAATGATTTCTAGAACTCAATTTAGAAGCAACAAAGCAGCCACAATGAATTCACAAATGCTGCCAAAAGAACATTTTTGTTTAAGTTCATAACAGCTTGAGAAACTTCTGAAAACTCTCAATTTGAGCTTTTTTAAGGAAGCACCAGTTTAGTGATGATGATATTGTGAATTGAATGTGAATATATTCTTTAAAAAATCAGCGGAGTGTTATCAGTTGGAGCTCTTTTTTATTTAAAGGTTTTGACATTTTAATACATAACCGTACTGCAGATTTTTTAAGAACATCATAGTATCCAATAAAACTGACATGATGAGAAATATATGATGAGCTTACTCATGAATCTAAGGCCCTGGATTCTTAGGTCTAAAGAAGTTTGATCAACATAAAGTTATTCAGTAATATACTGTAAGACTATAAAAATAAGTGCATTAACATTTGCATGATATCACTGTGTGGATTTGTTGTGTGCTTCAGTGGGACAGGCTTTGGACACAAAACAACAACAAAAAGATGCTGTTACAGTAGAATTGAATTGACAAAGGTCTTCTCAAACAAATCAGTGGCAAAAAGGTTTTGAGATTTCCTCCTCTTTGGAGATCATATGATGAAAGGTGTAATTGCAGATATGATTTCGAACCAAAAATGTAAAGAGTGTACTGGATTTGGACTTGGGTATCAAGTAGTGATGTTCCTAGACAACTGATTACATATTTGGTTAGCGGAAGTTTTCATTCAGACTGACCGACTAGTCTGATGGTAAGAAAAAACTCAAAATTGAGCACAGAGTATTTAAAATGTTCTGCTATTAAATGATGTCATTTGGTTTGCCAAGTGCTAGCACTCAGTCCATCCTGCAGGTTAACATCTACATGCCTGTGCTGTATGTGCTACAACATTGCTCAGGTCGATATGCTGCTTTAAGGACCTGTGTCCACAGCGTTTTTCTCTGTGTCATCGCCCACCCTGGAAAAACATCGGAGAGTGGCAGTGCAATTTTCGCTGTCTGAAGACACAGGGCCTTACCCGATACAACCTCAATACATTTTTATCTCTAAAAATACAGCCCAACTACGCTGCTCCTATGAGATGCTATTTGTTCACTGTGCTTGTTTAAATCCAGGTAGTAGAGTAGGAAGAGCAGGCCCATTTACTGGAGCTACAGCCAGTCAGTGGCTACAGCCTCAGTATCAGGAGGCTGCTTTACAGTTTGAACATTTGACCTGCATCAAACCACATAGAAATAATTACTTTAACTGACTAGAAATGGTGATGCAGACTAGCGAGTGTGTTGAAGACCACATTTTGAGTTGACTTAATGCAAACATCCCGAGTTAAAATCTCCTCATCGTTATTTTTCTATGTGTTTTCGGCACGTTGGAGATCAGGCGAAACAGTGCTGACGTCGACTCAACGGCCAGTTTGGAACGCCAAAAGATTGCTGCTAATGTAAGAGGGTCAAGTGGGTCAAAGGCTCAATCGCCATTTTGTATAATTATTTTGGAAAAAACAAGACTTTAAAGACATTTCCACAACTTGAAATCCAACAGTTTGTCCTCTTATTTGTTTTTAAAAAAAACAACTTGTTGTCAAAAAGGTACAAAAAATGTTGAAGGCAATATTTATATTTAAGATTTATTTGGCATTGATTGCTGATTGGCTTTTTGCATTCTTGTCACACCCTGATCAGTCAAAAGCATAAATAAACTATTTTGAGCAAGTTTCACTACTACTCATTACATCTCGGCTTTGCTCCCCCCCCCCGCATCTCTCCATCTCCCCCTTCTCTCCATTTGCACCACCCTTTCTTTCCCTTCTGATCACGAAAAGCAAGGCAACATGATTGACACTCAGTGCAGATTTATTCAAAGACCCAGGTGGGCCTCATGCCTGTACGTTCAGAAAAGCTGCATGCTGCTGTGTCTATACTGTCACTCATTAGCATATCTATACTGTGGTGTGATCCTGTCGTCAGTTCAGGCATATAGGGCTACTGTCAGAACATCACAGGCCACACTGGCCTTAATTGTGATAGAAATCCCTCAGGAGGAGTTACTGTACCTCGAACAGGGGCTGGATAAAAGACCTGACTCATTACCACAAACTCACTATCACCCCCAAGTGGTGAGGTGGAGCTTGTTGAGGACGATCTTGTAGAGAGAGTGGAAGAGTGTAATCATCAGCAGTGTGTTAAAAAAATAAGCAGTTTTTGATGATAAAGAGCAAAAAATTGCACACACATACAATTCTTGTTTCCTCTTATCTTGCAATTTATAAAATAATATGACTTTATAGCTCAGGGCTGACTGACACCTCAGCTCTTCCTTTTAGGCTTCATGCAGAAGAGCATTTTGCAACTGCAATTGTCACATGAACAAATGCATTTTTTTTAAATTGAGTGGATTCATTTATTAATTATGTTGGCCTTTTGGAAAGCTAAAGATTCCCTCTGTGGTGTTTTCATGTCGTGTTGGCCGGTTGGTGAGAGGAAATAATCCGCCGCTGCTCAGGCTGCAACACAAAGGCAGAAAGACAGAGAGAGAGAG